CAGGCAGATTTCAATCCAACAGCGGCCCAGACACCATAGCAGGAGCACGGCAGTAAGTGAGGCTGGGGCGCGGGCCCGACGCCAAAACACACTTCAACAGACGGCATATTCATGACGGATACCAGCGGGCCAGATTGTTTGGGAACATGCTGTACTTGGACACCATTTGCCACAGGAATGCGACACAGACGGCGAAAAAAGGGGAACAGGTCGATTCCCTTGTGTTGTCGCCTTGGTCCGCTGCATTTGTTATGTCACGCCGTCGCATTAATCACAGTGGGCTGCCAAAAGCGCAGATAAACGCAGCCAAGAAGCCCGCTTGTCGTCCTGATGCGTCGCTTTGGTGATTGTACCTTGGCGCTGCGATATCACGCGGCCGCTGCAACTCCACATTGCGCCTCGCACTTGCCACGATATGTCACATTAACCAGTTGAAGGTGTGTCAGATCAAATATTCGTTGTACCATAAAGCAGGAATCTGGACGCACGAATTACTCCACAGCAGCACCAAAGCCTACATTCCACGCGACAAGATGGAGCACGTGGCACTTCGTGTGCTGAAATGGATAAGGAACAGCTATATTCTTGATTAACTTGTTCTAAGTGGGGTCTCCGATGATTTCAAGTTCACAGGCAAATTAAGTACTTCCATTACCGTTCCATGTAACTTGTCAAGGATCATACAACACTCGTTACAGTCCACAACGGCAGGGGGATATCCCACGGTGTCCCCCGCAACGTCAGATTTAGACCCGTCAGAATCCTTTCCGGACATGAGGCTCTCTTTGGTAATTTGTGTTGTTAATCTCACCAGTAGACATCGAAATGCAGTGTATTTATGAGTAGCCGGAACAATTCGCAGATCCCCCTCGCATCTGGCTGGCTTTACATTTACAACGGCCTGCTTGCGGACTTTTGTAAATTTTTTTACATTTGCACGAGCCTGCCTACGGACTTTTGGAAATTTGACATGGCCATGTAGCCGGCAAAGCCTAAACTGTATGTTGCCGCATACAGTGCCCTTCGGTTTAATGT